AACCCATTGAATGATCATTAATACCAGTGAGGCTCTAAAGGTGTACTAACGATGTCCCAGAGTTTATTAATGTCTGTAGCATCTTTATTTTTAATAATCCTTCAGTTGTGACAGATTGAGATGAAATCATTGATCACTATATCTATTGGTTGATCAGATTAGAAAGACGTCGGACTGCTGGTTCAGGCTGATGAAGGAGTTTTATAAAAATGTCAGAGACCTGGAGGAATTAGCATCAGAGGTTTTCATGATTTGACAAAAATCAGATTAAAAATAAAAACGTCTGAAGATACCAAGACAGTAAACAAACAAATAAATAAAATTAAAACATTTCGGTCGATCAATATGACTTCATTTCATTCTACGTTTCCAAACATCAATATAATATTTCTACACTTGTTCATTTATGTAATTCACTCATTCACTGATTTATTTCTGTGTTTTCTGCAGTTCTTTAATGATTTGTATATTTCAGACGTTTCTTACTGGTCTGTTTCACATTTATTCACTGATTTATGTGAGTATTTTACAGTTATTTAATTTAATTTTTTTAAAAATTGATTTTCATTCCCAAAATTCTGGACAGATTTTTTTAAGGATTTTTTACAATAATTAATTTTGTATTTATTGTCATTAATTTATTTAAACATCTTCTTTTTTTCCTATATTTTCCACATTTATTATGCATTTTTCCATCAATATATTTTTTAGTTTTCTTCATTAAATTAATGTTTCTATATTTTCTACACTTGATTTGATATTTTTTCATCAACTTATTTCTACATTTCTTCAGTGATATAAATTAATTATTCAAGGGTTTTTTTTGTGTTTTTTTTGTAAGTATTTGACTAATTTCTGTTTTTGCATTTTGTAATTTTTCGCTAAATTATTTCTCAAAGTAAATAATCATAGAATTACTTCTTTATGTTTTAAATCATGTTGTTTGCTTTTTTTACTGATTAATTTCTGTATTTTATACAAATATTTTGTACTTTTTTATTGATTTATTTCTACATTTTTCATGGATGTATTTCTGTATTTGAACATTTATTTATTTTAGCCTTTATTTACTTAAATAAATGTTGATGTTTGGAAGGCAGAAACAATTTCAGGAGATTTATTTTTGATTATTTCAGTGTTTACTAGAGAACTTTAAGTCCTCTGTAGCAGAGACAGTTAATAGCTGCTACATCAGACTGATTCATGTAAACATCAGACTGTTTTTAACCCTTCATCTTCATCTTCCTCTTCCTCAGTGACCAACATCCGGGTCCTCCACCTGCGGGCTCACCTGATGAGCGCTACGTCGTCTATGAGGCCGCCGTTCCCGTTGTACACGCTGGAGGCTCTGATGCCCAGCTTGGAGCTGGCGGCGCTCAGCAGGTCGTCCATGGAGCCGAACACGGCCACCACCTGGACGGGGACACACAGGCGGCGGCGGCTCAACAAAATGTCGGACAGCAGCTACCGGCGGCGGAAGCTCGGCGCTCCGCTCACCGACACACCTACTTCCCGGGTCTCCCCGCCACACTTTACCTTCCCGTTGGTGGACGTCCCGTTAACGAACAGCGTGACCCTCCTCATGGCTCCGTCGCTTCAACCGGAGCGGCTCCTGCTCCGACTTCTACCCATCCGAGGAGTTTGGCTGTTCGGCGGCAACAGTCTCTTTTCCGGCCTCTCCTCCGGACTGCGCTCCGCCGCCCCGAGCCGCGGCTCAGCCAATCAGCGGCGTGGCTTCAGCCGCGGCAGCCAATCAGCACGCAGAGTAGGCGGAGCCCGGACATCTCCAGATAATAGATTTATTTTCATTTATTCATAATTTTTCAAAAATATTTTTTGTATTTAACCACGTAGACCAGACACGGACACCGAAACATACAGAAGGAAAAATTGTGTTTTGTTTTTTTAAAAATTGATTTATTTCTAAAATTTCTTCATTGATGTCTGTTTTCTACAATTGTTTTTATTTATATTTTTCATCTTCACCAGGATTTCATTGTTTTACTTCTGCTTTTTTATTTTCTTGATTTATTTCTATTTTTTTTTTCATCAGTTATTTACTTTTTACTTTTTATGGAGTAGTGAGAGTGCCAAATTATAAAAAACAAATCAACAAAAGAATAATAAAATAAAAGTGGAAATAAAAAGAAGAATAAATAAATAAATAAATAATGTGGCTGTATAAAGCAATATTAATCAAAACTTAATCAATAAAAGAAAAGGATAATAAAAGTAGAAATATAAAGACAAATAAATAAAAATAAAAATGAAAAGAATATAATAAAATATATTTTCTTGATTTATTTCTATTTTTTTTTTCATCAGTTATTTACTTTTTACTTTTTATGGAGTAGTGAGAGTGCCAAATTATAAAAAACAAATCAACAAAAGAATAATAAAATAAAAGTGGAAATAAAAAGAAGAATAAATAAATAAATAAATAATGTGGCTGTATAAAGCAATATTAATCAAAACTTAATCAATAAAAGAAAAGGATAATAAAAGTAGAAATATAAAGACAAATAAATAAAAATAAAATGAAAAGAATATAATAAAATATATAATAAAAAATACATTTCAAAGATTATAAAATAAATACATTAAAAAATAATAATCATAAATAAATTTAAAAATACTTTATTTTCTAATCATTGCGAGAATATAATCGTTTTATTTCTGTGTTTTACAATTATGTATTTTATTTTTATTGATTTAATTTTTTTTTATCAATTTTTTGTATTTTCTACAATTATTTTTTATTTTTATTGTTGATTTTCCATCAACATGTTTTTAACCTCTACTCTAAACAATATTTTTTCTTGTGATTTATTTCTGTATTTTCTTATTTACTGTATAAATTATCACTAAAATTCTGTTTTACTTGTTTTATACAAATATTTGTTGTATAAATATTTTTTAATTGATGAATTGTTGTATTTTCTAGTTTCTTCCCCGATTACTTAAAAATAATAATTTCATTATTTTACTTGTTTTCTACAAATATTTTTTCTTTTCTTTCTGTATTTTATTGTTACACAACATTCACTTTCTTCACTATTAAAGGAGTTTCATTGAATTCCTTCTGTTTTTTACAAACACTCCTCTCTTTTGTATTTTTTATTGATTTATTTATAAAAATCTCTTTTCAGAGTTTAAGCAGCATCACATCAGAACCGACCTTCATCTGCTTCCTGCTGTGGAGTAGAAATCCTCAGACGTTGTATAAAACGTTATTATTATGTTTTCAGTGGGACATGAACACAGAAGTGATCCTGGAACAACTTGATTTATAAAGATGTTTATTTAACAAACCATTCACCGAGAAATAAATTAGAGCTCCTTAAACAGACACAAACATTTACTGCAAACAAACCGAGCAGCTGAATCCCAGAATCGTTCGTTTGGCGGAAATAAAAACTTTTTTTTTTTTTTAAATCACTGAATGCAGCAATAAAACATTTTCCAAACATACATTGTTCTGCATATGAACCAACCGCCTCCTGATCGCACAGTGCAACAAAATAATGTGAAATGGTTTCGGTTCTGGAGCTGTGGGTCGACTTCACACGTCAGTCTGCAGCTGGATGTGAACGGAGTCCATGTGTTTGGAGGAAATAAATCAAAGTGAGAGCGATAAAGCTCCTCTAAGCTTCATCTGAACGTCCCACGTGGTGAAAATCTGCTTTTATTGTGTTTTGTGTGTCATGAACTCTGAGCTCTGGTCGACCACAAACCGACTTCTGTCAGAAACATTTACTCGTTTTCAGAGACAGAAAACTTCTCTGTTGTTTGTGTTCAGAGGGATGATATGTTGAATTCATTAGAACTTATTGGGATGAACAACCTTCAGGGTTGAACCAGGTCCAGTGTTCAGACTGAGACACCTGGATGGATGTAGAACTGATCTGGTGTCAGGTTCTAGCAGAACCCAGATGTGTTCTTCCTCCTAAATGTCATGTGTCTATCTGCTGTACTGATGAGGTTCTGAGGCTCAGAAATGATGGAAACAGTCCATTAAAGTGATCAATCTGGACCCTCCTCTGTGGACTTGAAGGACCTGGACCTCTGGAACATTCAGTCTGAAAGTAGAACTCTGGTCAGTAGATGAAGGTGCTGCAGATACAGAACCAGATGTTCTGAGGAGGTTCTGGGGGAACTTTAATCAGATTTAGCTCTTTCATTTTAGCTCCATAATTTGAATATTTGGACATTTATTTAAACTTTGCACCACGTTTCTTGTAGACCTTCATCGTTCTGGTTCGTTCTGACTCTACTGCTGCGTTTACTGTTGAACTGCTTCCATGTTTGCTGTCTGTTCATAATCCAGCTTCAACCAACAGCTTCTCCTTCAATAACTGAGTGACTGTTGGGTTTGAAATGTCGCTAAATAGTGAAAAATTACCTGAAACTGTCTAAAAATGATTCCAAAATGGAACAATTTGAGTTTTCTGTCTGAGAAAAGGGAAGATTTCTGAACATTTTGCTTTGAAAGTGACTAAAATGAGTAAGTTCAGCTCCAGACTCGTGGTTTTATGAGGAAATGATGAACCGTCGGGGAGAATTCAGTCTGTATAATTAAGATTTAAGGCAACAAGTCGTGTTTAGTGACACCTTCAAGTCTGTGAGGGTTTCAGGCTGCAGGGACCTCCAGTGTTTCTACCTTCAGCTCCTCTGATGGAAGCTGTTGAGGTCTGTTCACCTGCAGCTCTGCTTGTGTTTCAGGTAATTAATCCCCTCCAGGTTCCCTTCTCCCGCCTCGGCGGGTCACTCGTTGCCGCTGTCCTCGGTGTCGTCGTCGGCGCCGTCGCCATCGCCGTCGGCCGGCTCGGCGCCGCTCCTCTCCGGGTAGTTCAGGATCTGCCTGCTGGCCTGACTGATGTACTGCTGCTGCTTGAAGTAAACCTTCAGCACGCCTTTGATCAGCACGAAGGCGATGCCGCCCTGCAGGAGAAAGACCAGAAACTAAGAACGATGGGCGGCTACAGACGGCACCAGAACCTTCGAACCTGCAGTCGGTTGGAAACTGTGACTCGATAACCCGACACTGAATGTAAAACCTTCTTCTATGTCAGATATCAAGGCTGTGGGATTGTCCAGACGGAGGTCCAGATACGAGGAGGGCTTGATGCTGGAAGGATCATTAGTTGTTCATTATTGTTCATAGTTGTTATAATAACTAGTGTGTTGTTAGAACATCGCTGGACTTCAGCCTAACGGACCGGTGCCGGGCCGTCGGTTGACATCAAAGGTAAATACGTTCAGACAGCAGCTGAAGTGACCTGAATCTGATTTTTTTGCCCCTATGCGACCTGGATCTGGTCTTTTCATGACAGTCTGAACAACACAGATCCGATTTTTTCAAATGTGACCCAGGCCACCTGGATAAGTGGTCCTAAATCCGACGGATATCTGATCATGTGACTTCTGTCTGAACATCCAGGTCGCACTCATCCGACCTACACGAGAAACTAGGGCTGGTCCCAATAGAACTTTCTGCTCTCTGGATGTTCAGGCCCAATTAATGATGAACATCTGAATATTCGGCACGATCAGGAGGGGGGACACTTCCACCCCGGGGCAGCGCTCTGACGGGGTGGAAGTGTCCAGAACACACAGGCAGTACTTGGCTGCTGATGCTAGTTTAGTTAGCGCTCACACTTCTGTTTCCTCCATCGGTGGCGGCGGGGGAGTGGCAGATACGCTCCACCGTTACCATCCATGTTTACTTCCATAAACACTGAGCACGCTCGCTGCGTGTGACGTCGTCGTGTCCTCTTCTGCGCATGCGGGACACTTTTGGCTCGTATGAAGTTCACACAGCAGATCACATACAAGTCGCATTGAAGTGGAAACGTGAAGGAACTCAAAGAAATCCTCATTGAGCATCAAGTCCTGCAGTGTGAACGTAGCCAATCTGTGGGATTGTTCAGTCAGATAATACGCCGTCATCCTGATTGGTGACATTAAATGTCATGTCGGAGTCACAATCCAAGGCTGTCGCTATGTTAAGGCTGTTTTTATGGGTTCTGTTGGTTTTTCCTACAAACCTGTCAGATAACAGGTTTAGGATTGTTGCGGGTCGGATTATCGAGTCACGACTGTAATTTTATATTTTAAATGTCCAGAATGGCAGAATTCATCAGAGACATAATTTGCAAAAACAGAAACGATCATCAGCTTTAAACATGTCAGTGGTCTTTGAACGCATCATCTGTCCAGTTGTTGTTCTTATACAGATTTAAAACTACAGCAGTTTAGCCCAGATTATAAAAAACATCATGACTGAAACTAGGAATGAACAAGTTTAAACAATAACAATAATAACAATAATAATAGTAATAACAATGAGGTCAGAACCCTGCTGTGGTGTTGATGGTGTCAGTAATTCACATGTTGAAATCAGATCTTTCCATCCTGTTTGTATTTATTCTTCTCAGTTTCAGAGGCTTCATCTCTTCCTCTGCGGTGGTTTAACAGCTCAGCTACAGAACCAGCGCCACCTGCTGTTTATCTCATGAACCAGTGAAGGAAAAAAGCTTAATTCTCATTTTCATGTTCAGATTTAGTGGGAATCCTCACCAGCACGGTCTGCTGCAGGTTGGAGGACATCCGTCTGAAGAGCAGCCGGCCCACCAGGCTGGCGATGGACGGGAAGATCAGAGCTCCACACAGAGTCCTGGACACCGACAGGTGGTCTCCAGAGTTGGGTCCGTCCACCGGGACGCGGGGCAGGTAACGGCTGCTACCTGAACACAGCACACACACTCTGGCTGTAATTCACACCAGTTAACCAGCAGCTGGTCACCTTCATACATCTACTGTCAGGAGAAAACCACACGACTGGTTGACCCTCAGTGTCGCTGCTGTTACATGGAAATGGACTCGTTTAGGTTTTCACTCGTCCTCAACAGTCGACACGATGATCGTCTGTGTTACAGTAACTAGTGTCACATTCTTTCTGATTTTTCATTTTTTATCTTTCATCAGGTCCAAATTTGACCCCAAAAGATGCAAAATACCTCAATAATATCCACAAAGAAACACAAAATGACGTCCTACAGACACAACACGACCACAAGGGGGCACAGAATGTACACACTGACGCTAAAAGGACACAAAATGAACACAAAAAGGCCTAAAAGTCCACCAGAAAGGCACAAAATGATCCCAAAGACACCAGACAAACCAGCCTGAGGCCTTAAAGTCACCAGACACTCGTCTGTAAATCTGGTTTTTATCTGCAGACTTTGTGTCATAGTTTGTGTCTTATTTACGTTTTCTTGCTGAGTTCTGGATTTTGAGCTTTAATCATTATATTTGACTCTTTATCGGCTCATAACACTTCCTGTCTTGTGATGGAAACACCTGCTTTTTAAATCTTTTATACGTCTTTATAAATGTCGTACTTGTTTCCTGTCATTGACCAAAACTCTCCTGGTGCGTTAAAGCTAAATGCAGTGATGAATAAACAGAACCCCTCAGATAAAAGTAAATAATAATAAATCAGCTAAACAAGGCCGAACAGAAAATCAGAACCTAATAATAACTGCATTAGTAAATCGTGTATTTTTGTTGTTTGTGACATTAGTTCACATTTAAATCTAAAGAAACACCAATAAGACACCAGATATCCACTGAATCCCCGCCCAGCGCCACCAACACATCCCAAAGTGACAATAACAATAAATAAATAAATAAACATCCGTGTTGTTGTTTTGTTGTTGTTTTGTTCTGACGGTTTCTCTCCACGTCCGTCTGAACGTCTCTAAAGTCGCCGGCTGTGTTGGTTACCTGGAGGAAGCTTGCGTTTGTACGAGTATCTCTGCCACAGCCTCACTAAGTAGTCCTCCCAGCGGATCATCTTGCCCAGAACCAGAACCACGGGGATGGTGGGCAGGCCCATGAGCAGGAACAGCGGGTCGGCCCGCTCCATCACGTACAGGCCCTTCTTGTGTCCAACCACCTGCACAGAAGGACGAGACGCCGTGAGACGCTGCCGGTTCAATGTGGGTTTAATTCTGGCTCGGTGTCGCTGAAGCGGACCTGCATGACCGTCACGGCGCCGTACGTCACCGCCGACCAGTACACCGTCCCGACCACGACGCCCACGGCGGCGAAGGGGCTGATCCGGGACAGAGCCCGGTCCAGCTGCTGCAGGAAGTAGACCAGCGGACCTGAGGACGGACAGGAACCGGTGAGAACGAAGCAGAACCAAACAGAATGTCTTATACAAACACTGATCAAAGTCAGAACTTTATATTTAGATGTGGGACAGAACCACACGTCACATGATGTGGACGTTTTATTTTAAAGATTGTTTTATAAATATCTGAAAAATTTTATTAAAATGATGAAAAACATGATTTTAATATCAGAAAAAATAAAATATTAATAAAATGTTTTTAAAAAAAAATAGGACTTTAATGTCAGAAAAAAATCTAAAAATATTAAAAGAAAATGTACAAAAGGAAAAAATCCAGATTAAAAAAAAAAAAGTCTGAAAAGCTTTTAAATATCTAAAAAATATGATTAAAATGTTAAAAAATATATGTTCTTAATGTTCAAACAAAAATCCTAAAAATATAAATAGAAAATGTCGATTTAAAACATTTTAATATTATTTCTCAGATATTAAAAAAAAAAAAAAAGTGAAACAAATCCAACAATGTGACCAATCAGCAGCTGTTCTACTGTTCATCACCAACTTCTAACTTTAACTCTTTCCTCTGATCCTCAGTCAGTGTCAGCTCTCTGCCTGCAGGTGGCGGTAAAGCAACTCACACTGACTTAAACCGTTCTATT